TTTATGTCTTCTGGCTTATTGCGCTGTGTAGTCTGGTCGATGTTTACCAACGTTTCAGAGGTCATACTGCCTCCGTCATCATACACACCGCTGTGAAAACCTCAAATCTTACATAAACAATATATATAATTCAAGCAGAAAATAAATTGTTATAATATATTACAACAAATTTGCGAAAGATTATGCTCTGAATTCGGTACTTCATTGGCATCCTTCATTTCTTATTAGGGACTCGCCTCATAATGACGCCTTCAACTTCAGTCAAGTCCCGCCATCGTACACGCTGTTGCACTTCAAGTTGAAATTCAATGCACATGTAACAGCAAGTGCACAAATCTTTCGAACAGACTGTTACTTCATGCTCACATAAACGAAGAAAGATTTATTCAACCCGTGCCCCCACTCCAACACCTTTCCAGTTGTAACAAAATTAAATTGCTTGTTACGAAAACAGTGCAGTAAACACCGTTTCAATCCTAGCTACTCGCCGTATTATAGTTTGTTTCGGAGTGGATGTTTCAATATTACAGAGTGTACAGTCTGTCTTAATAAACACTGTACCAATTTACATCAGTAACAAGAGTTGCGTTCTAATAACTAATCTCCGTAATGTATACCAAATTACAGCCATATTTCTGTCTAATGAAAATCCATCAAAAGGAGTTATTAGTAAAGCATAATTACTTTCATTCAACTTCATCTCTCCTTCCAACTTAATGTTATCGCTGAAAGTGTAATCTCAGATACTGAACCAGAGAACTTAATCTCATTAAGACACTACAGATTCCTGCTCGAAATAATACCTTCATGATTGAATATTCTTCTTCAATATTCATTAAGAGAAAGTTGTAATAGTGCCACTTTCCTTGCCAGGAAAAATTTACCCAGAAAAATAAAAGAAAGTAAAAAACTACCTTCACGGAGCACAATCCCTCTTCAAAATATGATAGTTGGTTGGCTAGTCAAGAAATTTCCAGCCTTTTATAAAATAGAAGGCCCGTAATTACTCTCAAATAAATTCGCCACTCGCCTCTACACTGAGACAGATGATTGTGGTTCATAACCTCAACAGCTGGGTTCTTGAGATTCGCTTCTATATTACATTGATACATATGTCTACATTTTCCAAGTGGTCTTTTCAATTCAGGTTTTCTTACTAAAATTATTATAAATTTTTCGTTTGCCCCCTGCGTGCTGCACATCCCACCCACCTTATTATCCCCTATTTAATTACTCTGATAATTTCGTGCGAAGAGAGCAAATTATGAACCCTCTCATTTTGAAATTTCAGAAGCCTCTCTTTTCAGTAGAAAAGAGAGAGCATAGTCTACTATACCCATGCGCTGTCTCTACCTGTATTTTCCTCTTTTATTTTTTGTCTGTCATGGTGCACCCTTGAAGGAGGGAGGTGTCGTTGCGATAAATTGAAATGCTCTCCTGTATCTTGGCAGTACTCCTGGGAGATGACCTCAGACGAAACCCTTCTCCCATGCCTTCTGGTGACAACAACCACAAGAAAAAAGGATTTCCCCATTCCAAAAATTACTACAGGTACTACCAGTCCTGCTGGCACTATGTAGCAAACTAACAGCCCCGAACGTCTTTGAATGCGTTTCGGGGAAAAAAAGCGAGTGTCTGGGTAAGGCGTCTATCTAGCGGTGCAATGCTTTCATTATTTATTTGCCTTAGATCTACAGTAATGTTTCAAGAGTTTTAAAAAATTAGGTAAGAGATGTAGAGTTTTACAAAGCAGTCCAAAGATTACAAGGAAAATACATCTGTGTACATACTAAAATATTAATCAGATCTATATTTTATACGCTGTATCGATTTTTATACAGCAAACAGAAACACTTCGGATAGAGTTTCTCGTGAAGTATCTTCACTAAACAGATGCAAAAACATAAAATTAATATTGTTTTATGTAAACTAGAATCTGCGTTAGACCAATGAGGATGAGTATTAAACTCGTAGAAGCTTCTAGTGTCCATTTTCCTACACTTCCAAAACAAAATCTGTTAGGCAATTTTACAGGCGAAACATGCTTACGGACAGACAGAAACAACATCACCACATTGAGCTTATTTATGCATCTCGTGAAAAGAAAGCTTCCTAACATAAAAATTCCGGGCAGGTATCTTTGTATTCGACACCAGCCACCGAATGAGCTGACCGGAAATTTTACGTCACTTACGTATGCCACAGCAGAAGTAATACTGAGTCGTAACCACAGCCCACAGCTTCCAATGAATAAAAGACGAAATTCGTGAGATAAAAGTTGCTTTTTATAGGCAGAAGAGGAAATGTCTGGTTGGGATTACAGTGAACACGAGTGTTCACGCTGTTTCCTTACGCCACGTTTCGGTCATACCGTGTATGTCTGTCTGTCCAGATTTACCTGGGACAGGGGTTCTCACCCTTTTTCGCTGGCGAGCCACTAATTCTAATTTAACACGTTAAATGTACCGCTAATCAAATGGGTTCAGGGAAAATGTATTTATGTTATTATTATCTTTTGATTTTCTTACTTAGTTCGCGTACCACCAGTGGTACGAGTACCATAGATTGAGAAACGCTGACGTACCAACCCCCGAGGAGCTCCGAAAGGAGCGCTCTGCTCTAGTATTCCAAAAAGTACGCCTTTCGAATCATGTTTTACGTAATTCGTCTTTCACGTTCTAATTCATTTTTCATCTTTTAGTGTAACTTCGGCTACAGATCTCAGGAAACACAATTCATTGGTTTCAATTCCGCTGTTATTTTTCATCTGAATGTCGCTCATTCCAGACCACGTCTCGTTGTTAAAACGCCGTAAGCAGAATGATCATCTGCACGAGATGCTCTTCGTAACTCGCTGTAAACGTCTCACTCAGCACTTGAGACACTGAGCAGTGTGTCGCTTTATCATCATGTATACACAGTACTACACCCGACCAAGGAAACACAATCAACTAGCCAGTGTGGTATATCGTGGCGCAAGAAATGCCCCGGCCACACATCCATCCAGGCCTTCAGTTTCTGCGTAAATCCGGTAAGAGAGCAGAGATGGATAGGAAGTGAGGCAAAACCCCACGGTCACAGACGGGGATAAAGGCAACGACATACATTATTCAGTTAAAACAGCCGCCAAAATGGAGTCGTGCCACATTACTGGTATTGGATTTCTTGTTCAAAAAATATATGTGAATTTTGTGATCTGTGGTAAAATCATCTGCGGTGGTAATAAAAGTTATTATAAATTATGGAGAGTAAAAAGCTTGGTTTGTGCGACATAAATTATGATTCTGGGGTCAATACAAACACATACACCGTTGATATTAACGGGAAACTTTTAAATAATTGTTATATTACTGCATAGAGCAAAAACTTAAAAGGTGCTCTGACATGAATTGCGCAATTGAGTAGTTGAAAAGTATTAGGAAGTAGCAAGAACGCGGAAGAAGGAATATAATGACGAATTTCGGATTTAATAGTAATCTCACAGTATTATTAATTTAATTTAAAAGTACGAGATGGTACGTGTAAGTAGCTTTTAAATCCTCAAACGCACACATTATTTTTGTTTTGAAAACCTGAAGAGATGAAGAAGAGACGATTTCTGAATCTTAAACTTGCAAGCACGAATAATATTAAAATGGTTCATAAAGAAATAGGTTATAAGAAAAGGGATGGATTGAAGTAACTGAAGACCGGAGCAAATGGTGGTTTCTACTTAGGCGAGGTATTTAGTGGAAAGAGAAATTTTTACAAGATCTGATCCTCATTATTCAGTTCACGTTCTTTTATCGTTTCTTGTTTTCAAAAACATGCATACACAATTTTTGTTAGTTTTATTACAGCTGTTACCGGTAATATACATTCCGTTCAGCCCATGAAAGTAAATTAAATGCAGTATATGAAAAAACTCGTGCACCTACACGGGAACCTAAAATCGTAAACGGCGAGACAGAAGACGTTCTCAAAATTCATACGGAGGGTACTCACTCCTTAAAAACATACTCTCCCATTTATATTAATGTAACTGAAAGACGACTTTCTTTAATACTGCAGCTACTATACGTTCAAACAATTTAATATTATTAAAATATTATTATTGCACAAACCCGCTTATGTCAAACGCACAAACTTCTTAAGTTTGAGAAAGAAGCATAGTATGAAAATGTTACGAAAGCGTGTTACAGTGGTGACTTTTTAAGTTTTCTTATTTGCAACAAAATTCAATGTTAACTTGCTGGAATATTTTAATATCTTATCTCTGTCGGCAGCTGCAGCATTGAGACCGGAAAGTGAAAATGTCAAGACCCTATGAAGAATGCTCGACGAAAGTGGCGGTCAGTAGTGCAATGAAGTACAGCGCACTGTACCGATACTTCTGCAAAACGCCATTCCCTTTGCCTGGAAGAATCTCAGACCCTGAGCTGAGCTTTTCCAACAGGGCTGGGAAAATAATAAAAGCACAAATCTGACCCGTGGTTATACTGACATTTTAGTAATTCATTTGTAGTTTATTAAATTTCGTTTCCAACAGCTCATTTTACGTAGCAGTGAACTGGACTGCATACGTGGATAATTTAAGATACTATCCCAGGTTTTGCCTGACAAGAATAAGGAATGCCATAAAAATTCTCAGTAAGGATATCAAGTCTCCGAGCCGAGACCTCGCAAAGACGAAGTGATGACCACTCGATCGTTATTTTCGGTTCATATTAGTAATAACACAATCATCTAAAAATTTATGAATCGCATAGAGAAAGTATTAAACAGAGATCAATTACCTTACAACCTTTAACAGCAATATTAAGTGACACTAATGACAATCTCAACTCATGAAGTCGGAAAGCCACTGATACTACAAATCTGCTGACAGCATTACGTTCATACCAAGTTTAATGAAAATCCATTAGTACATTTAGGTTAGACCGTAGACCCTTGGGCATCTCGGCGCCATGAAACTGAGTTTTCTCATAAAATAAGTAAAGTACGGTTAAGTAATTACTCACCCCTGGAGCAGAGACAGCCAAATGGAAATCTACCCCTGAGCGCTTCCTGCGGGCGTCCAGGAAACGCCTGGTCGGTTCGGAGGAGGCAAGAGGACAGCATTTCTGGGCTGACGATGGGCGCTATGTATATATAGCGGGAGAAGGAGCAGTAGATCTCTGAAATGAATATATGAAAAAGTTGTGAGGGGGGAAAAGGCACTCCGGATCCTCAAAGAGGAAGAAAGCGGTTGTCAGCTGTTAACTCTCTCAGAAAACGCGGATATAATCTGGCGTCAAAAACGGTTCAAGTCCTCACAAACTAAAGATAAACACGCCTTGATGTTTGTATTTAAAAACAAACTTCGATGACTGATTGATTCTTCATTTATTTAACTAACCTTTTTCAACTGCATAGGCTTGGACAACAAGTAGGAAAACTGCCAGACATAGATTGGACAGGTCGCGGAAAAAGGCGGTTGAGTAGAACAAAAGAAGTTATTCTGTCAGTTTCTTAGAGGAACTGAAGAAAATCGCTGAAATCATAACCACGATTGTCGGTTTCCTGGCAGATATTTGAACGTATAAATTCCTTAATACTGTAAAGCGGTGAGATCAGCAGCCACGTTTGGTAGCAGTGCCAATTATCAACAAGTGCAGAACTCTCTTTCAACAGAAGTTCAAACATCAAGCTCAGAACAAAACCGAGAAGAATTAATGAAGCCTCCTTTCCTCCTCATATCGCCCCCCCCTGGTAGTCTAACTAAAGTAAATTTGTCACTCTGCAAAATCATGACGAGGTAAGACTTGTCGCTTTCGAAACTGTAGTACTTGATGGAGATAATTAATGAGCTTCACGCTCCGTCCATTATATCTCCTAGAAAAAGCCCACTGTGCCCATCATGTAGGAGAACGGGTAGGGTCTACCGCTGGTCTGTATGTCTTGACAAAGACATAAATATTCTCCTCTGTCGTGAATCGAACTCCGGTCGTCAGTTTGCCGACTGAGCTGTCACTCTCTCAGGATGCATATCGGGGGGCTAGACATCTTGATCCTCCGTGTAAATAAATTCTCCTATCAACAGAGGAACCTACTACGTTATAGAAAGTAATGAATTCTTTATCACAGCATTATAATTTATGTCCCTATACAATTAAAAGTATATTGTTTCTATTTCGCGTTTAAATGAGTAAAATATAACAAAAATAAGTTGACAGTAACAACATACCAGCTCGTGGAGAAACTTATTTCAGTCATTAAGTCTATGGAACTTCGACTTCCTTGTATTTTCTTAAGTAACTCAAATACACAGTAAATCACTGTGTAATTATGCTGAACTCGGGTTTAATTATTCACTCGAAATTTACTCACAATTAAAAATCACTTCAGAACATCCTGACTTTGAATATCTACCAAACTTCAGGCTTATTGGTACTGTGAAGACGTAATGGAACGCCATTTAATTTTCCGACTTCATTTTCGATTATACG